CTACTACTGCTACTACTTCTCCTACTACTACTACTACTACTACTACTACACTACTCCACTACTACTACTACTACTACTACTACTACTACTACTACTACTACTTTTACTACTACCACTAGTTTTAATTTGACTTGTAGTACTACTACTACTACTACTACTACTACTACCAGTACTAGTATGACTAGTACTAGTACTACTACTGCTATCACTACTACTACCACTACCACTACTACTACTTTCTTTTTCTTCTGCTTGTGCTACGTACTAGAGTAGTAGTATTATTACTACCACCGCTACTACTACCACTACTAAGTAGTAGTAGTAGTAGTAGTAGTAGTAGTAGTAGTACTACTACTACTACTACTAGTACTACTACTACTACTACTACTACTACTACTACTGCTGCTGTACCACTACTCCTACTCCTTCCTCCTCCTCCTTCTACTTCTACTCCTAGTACTACTACTTCTACTACTACCTACTACTACTAATACTACTAGCACTGCTACTATAGTAAGTAAACTGTTGCTGGTAGTACTACTAGCACTAGTACTACGTACTAGTAAGCATTACCTTTACAACTACAACGGTTCGTAGGTAAACCATTAGTCTGACTCGTCGTATTGTTCACTATTCGCAGTTCGTAGTAGTACATTGAAGTACGTACTAAATATTTTGTCTTCATAGCAGCAGTGGCAGGAGGGCTGAGTGCAATTATTTAAGGTTTTGTATTTATTCAACATAAGTGTAAGCAAAATCCAAGACGAAGGCGACAGGCCGTCTTCGCAAGACTCAGCGCTTGCGCTTGGAAGACGAAGGCGGTGTCTTCTGTGGCGGGCTCACGGGATCACTCTTCGACGAGCGGCAGCTTTCGGGAGTCTTCGGATCGTTGCGGCCCTTCTTGTTCTTCTTCGGCGGGGTAGACGGCTCCGGCTTCTGCTCCTCCGGCGTGTGCAGCTTCGTCGCGGGTGCATTTGGCACCGCATCGAAAAAGAGCGGCTGCTCCGGAAGCGCAGAATCATCTCCATCGTTCGCCTGCATGACATGTGTCATCGGTATGTTTATGCACCCGTTGACGAAGTTGGTGTAGAAGAGGTGGGGTGCCTTGAGCGGGAATCCGCGGATCTCCTTTGGCAGGCGAAGGCGAATGTCCGTCTGCAGGTACCGCACCATCCCGAACGTCGATTGGTCCTCGTCCTTGCTGTCGTGCTCAAAGTTCCAGTACCTGTAGAGCGGGTGCTTCTGAAAGTCCTGCAAGAATGTTCTCAGCAGGACTAAGCCGGCAAACACGATAGTTCAGGACTTAAGTAAGGGGGATCTAATCAATGAATTCTGCACAGAGAAGATCAGAACAGTATGGCGACCAGAGCCCCGACCCGGTGACCCCTGTCCTCCCATGTCTCGCACTTCGGCTCCGAAGTCGAAGACCAAGACTTCAGAGGACTGTCCGTCTCTTCGCTTCTGGTCTTGCACCACTCGAGCAGCTGGCCTTTGTGCTTGCTGGGCAATGCGGATCGCAGATCCACGTGCAAGACGAAGGCGACGATCTCCGTGATCTGGAACTTGTTGATCTTGGCTCCCTTCTTCATGAGCTTCTCCAAGAACGCAGCCACCGCTGGAACCACCAAGGCCAAGACTTCCAAGGCGAGGGGCGCGTTCAACAGCCGGAACTTATTCATGTAGCTCGGAAGGCGAGTGTTTGCCTCGTCGTCTTGCAAGGCACCCTTCCTGTCCAGAGCGTCATACGACCCTAGCATGACGGACCTATGAATGTGTTCCAGGCCACGGGGGTGAGACTCGCACCAGTCCACCAGCTGGTCCAGCATCAAGGCCACATTCTGTTTCTGAGACGACAGCACTTGTTGCTGTTCGCGCCTCACAGCCTCTGCCTTCTTGGTCACCAATCGGTCCTTCTTCGAAGCAGCGGCGGCCTTCTTTCCGCTCGGTGTCTTGCCCATGGCGAAGTCGAAAGGCGAAAGCGAAAGCGAAGACGAAGGCTGAGAAGGCGAGGGAGCGAAGTCGATGTGTCGTGGCAGCGGCCGAATGCAAGGTGTGGGAAATCAGCAACCTAAACTGCAGGAAAGTTCACGGAAGCACAGCAGTTTCGTTGCAGCATGCACACTCTGAACGCTCCGAACGGCTTCACTGTCCCTGCATGAAAATGCGAGAAGAGAAGGTCTGTGATTCGTGATATAAGCGAGGCTGGCCGGACCTCTCCAAGGCCAAGTCCAAGTAGTGACCAGGGTTTGGGCAACCTGCGAATGTGCGTAGCAGTCGGAAATAGAAATCTGTACTGCTGTAGATTCCCTGGCCGCCCCGGCCCGCGACCAGGAGTCTAATGCTAGAGGATGACAGAATCATAAGCAGGACGACGTGGGGAAGCAGTCCGAATCGCGAACCTTTGGGATTGAAAATTATTCAGGCTGTAAACTTTACGGTTTAGAGGAGTCCCCAAAAGTTTAGGGTCGAGGGAGTGACAGAAATGAGGATTCAGCTTTGCATCTCAGGCTGCCTTCGGGTTCAGGGTTTAAAGGTTGAGGAATTGGGCTTTTGACTTGTCGAGGCCCTGAGGTTGCTTCTGGTTATGCCCCTTGGGAAGTTGTAGGTTCAATGGACGTGTTACAGGCTACGGATCACAGCTTCATTGAATTAAAAGAACCTCAAGAGCATAAGCTTGCGACCTTGACGGATAAGACAATGTAACCCTGCCCGACAAGAAGTACTTGTCGCCTGAGCTCGAAGTTAAGTTGTATTCTATAACCCTGGGCTCCCTTACACCATCAATGGACTCTGACTGACACTCGAAGGCTTTGCTGTGGAGCAGTGGAAGTTTGAAGGGGGACTAACTAACACAGTACGCATTGTTTATTGGATTGGAACTTCCCGGAAGCCTCAACCCTAAGACAGCAACCCTAGAGAGTAGAGAAATTACAAAAACCTTGACTCAATGGATTTTGCAGTGTGTAGGGCTTAAGGTTGTAAATACTTCCAACAGTCTCGCCCAAACGACGCCTGATGTGTGCCTTCCCAGGGTCGTCCTTGAGCACGTGAGGAAATGGGATCAGCCTCGGACCGTGTGGGGATGAATGACTCTGATTTTCGTCGCAACAGGGGGTATTCTGCTTTGAATGAAACAATCGCCCTATGGACGGGTCTGACTAGTCTAGTAACCTGAAGCTCTG